GGGGGTGGGCCACGATGCGGTGCTCGGGGCCGGCCGCGGGCCACTGCTCGCACTGCACCCCTGCCACGAGGCACGGATGGCGGCTGACGCCTCCCAAGCGGGGACGGGCTCTCCCGGCCCCCCCAGCTGGGATGCACGGCACGGTCACCCCCAAAACCATTGGGGCTGTCCATCCCGTATAGACACTTGCATGCAGGGGGGGGATCTGCACCCACATCCACTTCCAGAGCCGGCTCCCAAGCACCCACCATCCTACCCGGCACCCTGCGCTCTGGCATGGAGGAGCCAGCACCGGGAAAGCACCTGCATCGCCCCAGCTATCAACATTAATTACATTTCTCCCCTGCTTTTTTCCCAGCCAAACCAATTCACCCAAATTATCAGGCTCTTGCAAAAAAAAAACAAACCCAAAAAACCAAATGAAAAAGGTGGAGGGGGTGCTGCATTTCGGTGGCAGCACCGGCCACAGGCTGGGCTGCGGGGTGGCCGGGGACACTCACCCTCGGGGAGGTGGAAGACGTTGGGGGGGAAACGGTGGCTGAAGGAGGAGTAGTCGATCTCGTACTTGTCGTAGTGGGAGCCCAGGAGGCTGTTGAAGCCACGCACCTCGTAGTGCAGGGGCACGGGGCCGCGGGCAGAGCTGCCCACCCGCAGCGTGTAGACGTTCTTCTTGCGACCCCAGTAGGAGACGTTCTGCCAGACGGCGCAGCGCTGCCCGCGGAAGCGCTCCTCCCGCACCCGCTGGGCACAAGCGAACGCGTCGGGGACCGGGGTGCCACGCTGGCACCGGCACCGTGCCCTTGGTGAGCTGGGGCACCCCGCGGTGATGGTGCTCCACCCGTGCACCCGTCCTGCATCATGCCAAGCTGGATGCAACCCCTCTACCTCCATCACCCGTGGCCACATCCAACCTTGTATTTACCCATTCCCAGCCAGGGAGGGCTGCTCTGCCCTCGTAGGGAGGTAGCCATCAGACACCCTGTACCCATGGGGGTCCCTTGTCCCCTCCCCTGCCCCATCCTGCCTCCTGGGGGACCATGCCCGGAGCTCACCTTGAAGTTCTCCAGGCTGGGGAAGACGCTCTGCGGGGCGATGAGGTCCCCGTCAGTGCCGTTGATGCGGAAGCACTTGCGGACGTTGACCTCCGTCTCCGTGGTCTCGGGAGTCACCTTGAAGCTGGCGCCGAAGGGCTTGATGGAGGCAAACTGGTAGGTGACCACTTGGCCTGGGGATGGGGACAGCGCTAAGGTCAAGCCAAGCCTGCAGGTCCTGGCATGGTGATGGCTCCCAGGGCTTTGCTGGGGCACCCGAAGGTCCTGGGGCAGAAGGAGGGGAATGGTGAGAGGTCGGGGGGATGGACCCTTTTCTGCACCCCCCCGGCCGTAGTATCGATGCGGCTCTTCCCCCCGGTGAGGTTGTACCAGGCTTCGAAGGGCTCCCTGATCTCCGCGTAGGGCAGGCTGATGACTCCTGTGGGCACAGAGGGGCCGGGCACGGGGGGCTGCGGGGGGCCGAGCCCTGGGGACATCCTCCGTCCCCCTGCCCCGAGCCCGCGGCTGGGAGGGGAGCGCGGGGAAGGCAGGGAGCACCCCAGGGCCCCGCGGCATCACCCCCTGCTCCCACCCATGGCCACCGCCAGCAGCACCCCACGGCAGCGATGCACCCCAGCCCCCGGGTTTCGTGGAGGAATTGGAGCCTCTTTGGCTTGGGCATGTCGGGTGGGAGCCGGTGGCTGGAGGTGCAGGACCCCCTTGGGTAGCACGGCGTGGGCACCGTCCCAGCAGGGTGCCCCGTCCCCGAGCGGTACCTGTGACATGGTAGATGTCCCCAAATGTGGGTGTCTCCAGAGGAGCTTTGCACTCTGCTCCTGGAAGAAAAACAAAAGTAAACCCAAACCCTTTTACAGTGTTGATTACTCACCTCTACACGGCGGGGGGAGACAGTGGTGCTGGTCCTTGGCTCGCTGTCCCCTGGGAGAGGGGGACAGACCCAGGGGAGCCCGTATGGGGAGCAGGGCTAGGAGGGCTCCCACCTGCCCGGGCAGGGCAGAGACCGGGGGTCCCCAAACCGGGGGTCCCCGCTCCTCTACCAGCCCTCTGGCTGATTCAGAGCCCCCACGCGCATCCCTGCTCTCCCTGGCCTGCAGCCAGCTCAGGGGCACTCCAAAGCCCCCATGCACGCCCCAGGGCATGAGGGGTGAGCGTATGCCCCCCCGTATGCCACGCACAGAGCGTGCCCACTGCCCCTGCACTGCTCTGGGCTTGGGGACAGGGACAGGGCAGCCCCCTCCTGGGGCGAGGACCTCCACAGCAGCCCAGGACCACAGCAGTGCCCAGGCTAAGGGGCGCGATGGCAACACCCCGCGATGGGGGCACGGCATCCGTGTTGTTGTGTGTCCCCCCCCCGCCCCCCCGGAGC